GCTCTTCAGAAGTTAATATGCATCTCCTTGAATCTCTGCACAAGCACACGGTGACCAGCTTCCATTTGAGCTTGTCCTAATTGGAAGCTTGTCACCATGTGCTTGTGCAAAGTTTCAAGAAGGTGCATATTAACTTCTGAAGAGCCGCATGTGGCTCTGGAGCCACAGGTTGGCCACCCCTGCTATAGGGGTAGAAGTCTAAAATAAAGCAAGGAAGGAAAAGTACAGCAGATGCAACATAGTAAATGAGGAGTATTAGACTGCTCAGTGAATGATCATAAATTAGTTTCTAATTGTAGTATCTACGTTTTAAAGCTTTTAATGAGTTCTGTAGTGTTTGATACATTAGAAAAGAAGTTGGATGGTTTTAAACAACTACAGCAGACTAAAATTAGTTATGCAGTATTAAGTTTGAAATGTTAGACTAAAATTTGCATGCAGGATATCCAGAACTGGAAGCTATTTAGACTTCTAGAGGGTCCAATTTAATGTAATGTGCCTAGACAGCAATACACTGGCATTGACTGGATAGCCTGTTCAGAAACAGTACTGGATAAACATTGTAAATGATTTTTGTTGACTATTTTTTTTCAAATTTTACAAAAAATTACTTTGAGTCCCTTTGTATTGTCATCTGAGGATGTTTTGGCAGAAGACTTCACAGGTAGAAATATTCGCATAAGCAACACATTTTGGATATATAAAGACAAGTCATCACAAAAGTTGTATTTATCCAGTCAGTTGAGATAAACATGTCATGTTCTATTCAATCAAAGCTAACCAACACAGGTTGAATTTCATAGGTCAGATATTTGCAACAAATGGCATACAGATGATCTAGAAACCAAAATTTTAAAACAAATACAATGGAGTCAATAAGCCTTTCATTGCTGGTTTCTAGGCAGCATCCATGCAGGGATTCACAGTGCCATAGCACTGCCCTGTGATAAAGTGGTGGCATACATTCTGGCCCCTCTGCTTTCCTGGTGAAAATCATGTATGAAGGTGATTGCCAAGATCAAAGCAAAAAAGAGATCTCAGTGTAGAAGAGAAAATGTTATGTAAAGGAAGAACTTCGGAAAAATGGTCCTGTTGTGCAAAAATTTTAATATAAAACAGAGCGTTAATACATAAGTTCACATAAATAGCTGAGGCACCCGTGGTGGGTTACCAAATTTATGCTGACAAGTGTAATTTAGTCTCAGTTCTTTATTATTGTATTTCATAGCATGCTACTAAATGTATTGTCTTTGTCGTGAGTCCCTCGAAGTGCCATAGTAAGGGGGATGAAGTCAAGCACAGTAGGTGCACTATTACTCTAATGGGGCTTTATGTGTCGTTAGTCACACAATTTGCAGTGCCATTCCATGTGTGAGTAGGTCCTTTGCTGCTGCTCTTATTGCCGTTGGCAATGCATTGCTCACACATGAAGTGGCACTGCAGATTTCACACTTTGCCATTCAGGCAGCCTAAACCTTCTCTCTCAGGTTGGCTCCCCATTACTACCTATCTTCAGCTAAGAGTTCAGAAGCTTTAGGGCAGAATCCTACTTCACTTCAGATGTTTAAATGGCACTTACCTCTTCATGTATGTGCCATTTTAAATGTTTATACACAGTTTACAATCCTTCTCCCTCTGTAGTGTGGACACAGAAGCATTTGCATAGCTTCTGGCAGGCCAGGTTCTTTGGGTAGTTGTGATGTCTTTTACTAGACCAATAATGGCCTGTCTATGTCTTTAGACCAACACAGCGACAACCAAAAACCCAGCTGCATGGCTTCTGGGAATTCAGAGTAGGCTGTGCACTGGCCAGGCAGGTATATGGCTCTATATATATGTATTCCAGGTGAACTTAAATTACAAAAATGTAGGTGGGCAAAAAACCCATAGCTAACAGGTGTTGCATGCTAGAGGAAGGCCTACTCATGCTTTAACCTCAGAAGTATTTGCCTCAAGGATTAGCAGACAGGTTCTAAGCCCTCTTCATCCTGAAGAGGTTTGAACCTGTTTCTCTCTAACTTCCACCAGGCCACAGGCTGGGAATTATCCTTCCCCTCTGCAGCCCTCTTGTGAAGCTGTCTTCTGGACAGCAAAGACAGGGACAAACTTAAGGCCCAGAAGAAGAAAGCAAGCCTGAGGGTGTGTAGCTCAGTGGATGGATACTGCTCTGGAAGAGATAATGGTTGGGTTTTAGCCTGGACCCTTGTCACCCACACAGGCTGAAACCTCCCCATTGCTGTCCATGTAGTGAATATTACATACATTTATAAATATTAAATGAGATGCCAGAGCTCTTACTCAGGCATTTGGGATTTACTCCCTAGTTCAGCAAGGTACTTAAGCAAATATGTAATTTTAGGCAGGCGAGTACTTCCTTCGGCTTTATGTGGACTTATTCACATGCCAAAGGCTGGGTATATGCTTAAGTGCTTTACTGTATCATGTCTCAACAAAGGCTTAGTGGCTCAGTTGTATAAATATTGATTATAGTAAAGTTATTCCAATTTATACCAACTGAGGCACTGACCCATAACATGAGACTACTGCGATGGGGTTTTATCTTTTTTCTTGTATTTGTGATAACTTGAATTTATGGATTAGCACTGTGAGATGTAGCCAGAATCAGTGCCTAGGAAAATGTGAGCTATTTGGTCTGTTTGCTATGAACAGCAGATATAGTAAACACAGCCTTAAAGTATGTATGTCTTAAAAATCTGTAAATTAGTCCATTTCCATGGCTTTTAATATATATGGCATGGCACAAGAGATTTGGCACATCTTGTATTTCATGGCAAATAAGGCTGGAGTGAAGAATAAGGTAGTAGAAACCTCCAGGGGAAGAGAGGGAAAAAGATAAATTGTTAAGTTTGTGCTGGAGGATTAAGAAGGATGGCAGGAGGAAGGAGGAAATGCAGGAAAAGATTTAAATTCCAGACTAATGCTGGCCCAGCCTTGGTATTCCTCAAAGTCAAATGAAACTGCATTTCTCTTGTCAAGCTGAAAAGACACCAATTTAATTCCATCTGGTCTCCAAGTCCATGGGATTTGAGGATTTGTCATCATTATACACAACATTATGTCAAATAAACTTAGGGAGGCCTCATAGTTGGCTGCTTTTCAAGTATGTACACACTTCCCTGATGCTCTGTTCACATCTCAGCATGATGGAAGCACGGTGTGGCCGGCATTCTTTATGAAGGTATATGAGGCATTTGTACATTTTACAAGAGACAAATAGAATTTCTAATCATGATTTTTCTCCATTTATTGTCCCCTAAGTTGCATCTATGTCTTGAAAAATATTTTTTTGTTTTAAGTTAGAGAGGGTGAAATCCTTTGTTGTTCAAATCAGCTAGGTTGATTGACAGCAGCTGAGGATCATGCTAAAAATATTCAGTTTGATTTTGGGACCTAGGAGGCTTTGTTAGAGCAGGCATAAGAAAGAAAGGGAATATTTATAACTATATTTTAGTTTTTAACTGGTCACTGTTCTTAAACACTGTTTCATCCAATATGGACAGCACTTTAAACTTTTTATCTGTCAAATAACTTACCGGGCACCCATCTCACATACTGATGAAGAAAGCCTTAAAAACAGCTAGACTGAACACTTAAAATACCTTTTATCTGCTGAGATTGTCACGAGGAATCATAGTT